ACCCGTGTGTTGAATCATCCCTGCAATCAGTTTTAAATTTCCCAAAGTCCTTTCTCGCCTCTCTACGTTTCTTTTTCTATGATAGCAGCCGTGGCTGGTAGAGGGATAACTTCCACAAGTGGAAGGATCAGTTCTTCTACTGTGATGAGTAGGGAAGAAGGAAGGATGGATATGGGTGGGAGGAGACTGGCAGATGATGTGGCAGGAAGGTGGGGGTATTCCCTCTGATGACTTCCATTTTCTCTGTGATATAGACGATGAGCACATATATTGAGACAACAGGGACGTTAACAGGGCAGGAGGTTTAAAGACAGTGAAAAGGGAAATCAAAGGCAAACCCTTCAAAAACCCAGCTGCTTCCTGGGCAGCCCTGAGGGTCCACACTGAAGCTGGAGACCATCAGTCAACCATGGCACCAGTGGGCTTAGTCAGATTAGCTCCCAGTAAAGGTGTGGAGAAGATGGGCGCGGACAGCTCCGTGGTTGGTGTTCTCGCTGAGCAGTCTGCAAGAGCAGCGGGGCCAAGAAATTAAGGATATTGACAACAAAGGGGTTGATGGGATTGGACAGGGCATTTCTGTCACTTTTGTTTGCTCACAGTCTCTGGGAAACTTAATGAAGTTTGACGGTTTAGCTTGACATTTTCCACCTGAAAGTTTGATGTTACCTTTTTTTTTTTAAAGATTTCATTTATTTATTTATCTATCAGAGAAGGAGAGAGAGAACACGCGCACACACAAGCCAGAGGAGCGGCAAGCAGAGGGAGAAGCAGACCCCCGCTCAGCAGGGAGCCTGAAGCTAAGTGGGACTCTGTCCCAGGACCCTGGGATCTTGACCTGAGCCGAAGGCAGACGCTTAATGACTGAGCCACCCAGGCGTCCCAGTTTGATGTTATTTTAAAAACTGTAGGGCTTTGCTGAATTTTCCACTCCTGTCCACTGTTTCTGGGGGTTCCCATTGTTTACATTTCTTTGTGTAGACAAGTAAACGGGTTTATCTTTATCCTTTGTTTCTTATCTTTAAAATAGAATAAGGGCCCCCTAACAATAAAGGGAATGCTTTATTCTCTTCAATAATGGCACTATTGATATTCATTTTGTGTTTTCTGGATGTTTTACCACGAAAGTAGAAACAGACTCTGACTGTATATCACCCAGATGTTCAAAGTTTATTTATGTTGTTTCAATACACTGACAACACACCACAGTTTGTAAATTTTTCTCCCTCAAGAGCCAAGAGTCACTTTATATTAAATCAGAAGATGCTCTTAAAGAACACACACACACACACACGCACACGCGAGCACACACACACACATACGGAAAGTACAAAAACAATCCCACCAAAGTGCATGTGAATGAAAGTGCAAACAGGCTTCGTTTTCAAACTCTGGGTTCGTTCTCTCTGCTTCAGAAATTAAACAGAAAGGTCCTCACTGACCTAAACCAGGGCTGGGCCGGGGGCTGGGTGCAGCTGTTGGGGGCCAAAGTGTGAGCCGTGTCTGCTGCCCAGAGCAGGGCGCTGGCGCTGACGCCCTCCCTTCACCTGCATCCCCGTCAACGTGGGCGGATCTCCTCTAGGGACAAGATGTGAGTGAATGGGGCCGGAGGGCCGACTGCTTTCCCCCTTTCTTAACGGTTTCTTTCTGAAGAGTTTGACGTTGGTGCAGAAAGTTGCTGAGGTCTCCAAGTTCGGAGGCCTGGGGCCCCTATCCTCAAGGCCCGTTGGTAGTCCAGGCTGCCTCTCCCGTCGGCAAGCACTGGGAGTGTGGCCGGCAGATTCGCGTGGCAGAGCTGTCCCAGTCCTGCTCCTCGGGAGTGGGGAGCTCCCACAGCACAGCCATGCATCCTTGCTGCCTTCTCCTTACACCACAAAGCCAGTTTCTCCTCAGTTTCATAGAGGAGCCGACCAGGCCAAGTTGCTAGAGAGTTCTGCCACCACCCAAGTGAACCAAGGGAGAGAGGCTCGGACCGGCCCCTCCTGCCTGTTGGCCAAGGAGGCACCAATGCAACCTCTGTGAGCCTGAGCCTCAGCCAGAGGCAGGGCCTACCCACTTTCTTCCTAGGAAGGCTGTGCTCGGAGCTGCCTCTAAGGACCAAAAGGGCAGGAACATCAGAAGTCCTGTGGGAGTTCAGTGGGGCTGCTGAATGGCTGCCTCCCCCCCCCCCCCCCAGCCTGCGGGGCCCCCAGGAGGGAGAGTCCCCTACTGGGTTGCGGCAGGAAATCAACAGAGCTTTGGGTGCCCCACTTCTATGGCAAAGATAAAGCTTCATATTTTAACAATAATAGCCCTTGACATTTTCCCAACGCTGAGCCTCACAGATGCACCTGTCAAACACTTCTGGGGGGGCGCTGATGTGCACACACATACCACGTGACCGAGGGAAGGGGCCTGGCTCCGCACCCTGCAGGCCCATCGCAGCACCTGGGGCCACGGGAGCTTGGCGGTTGCCCCTCACCTCCCTGTGGGGCCAGCTGCTCCGGGCCCTCTGCCCCTGCCCCACCCTGGCTGGTTTGGCAGTGGCTCGGTGGAGGCTCGGCCCCCAATTGAACAGAAAGGTTGAAGTCCCCGAGCCCCGGCAGGCACCCTGCTGGCAGTGCAAGACAGATGGAGAGCGGTAAGAAAGGCTTACGGAACACAGAGAATTCAAAGACAGAATTCACCTTCCCAGCTCCCAACTTCAAGGGGGCTTTGTAAGACCTCAAGAGCAAGACATTGACGGGACAGGTCGAATGTGATGTTGTGAGGTATGCGTGCTAGACCAAGCGGCACATCCCTACGGCAGGAGGCCTGGCAGGCAAGGGGTCCTCACCCCAGGGCCAATACCCTGGCTGAGATCCATGCCTGCAGGGAAGGTAGGCCCAGCTTCGGGGACCATCATGCCTGCTGGAGATGCCCCTCTGGGGAGCAAAGACCCGAGAATGTCTGACATACCCCTGTGCTGCCTCTTCCCCACACCTGATACAGGAAGCGTATATGGGGAACACATGTGGAGCCTTAACCTCTTTCGCACAGGTGAAACAGGTCCTAACCATCCACTCTGCTGGAAACAGGGCTTGGCGTGGGCCACCAGAATGCCAGCTCATCCAGAACAGCATGCTCAGGAAGGCATCTGGGCTTGGCGTCCCGAGAAAAGCAGCCAGAGACGCCCAGTGGATCCTATGACAACCTGTTTCCGAAGCTCACCCATCCATGTGGGAAGAGCCAGTGGGGTCTGGGTGGGCCCTGCCCAGGAAACCAGACAGCAGAACAAGAACATATGTTCGTGGCTGAGTCACTTCCTGGCTGGAGCCAAGGCAAGAAAAGCATGGAGAGAGGCCCAAGAGAAATGAGCCTCTGACCCAAGGATTTCCCTTCTACCAGATTGTCCTTAACCGCTAAGATAAAGACCCTTTGGTGATCACACAAGTCAGCTAGAGATGTGGGGCGGCCAGAGGCAGGGCCCCTCCGGTCTACTCCACCGGTAATGTTCCCCCAGCCTAGTCACACCCTCACTGGTGTGCCTGCTGGTAGATGAACCCCAGGACTTGGGGGCTAGGATTCCCATGTACCTTGTAGAAAGCAGCCCCAGAGAGAAGGAGCACCAACCCCTGGTAAGACGTAGAGGGTGGTGGGGGTGTGGGTGGGATATGAGGAACTCAAGTTGGGAAGGAAGCATCGGCTGCAGAGGGAGGCCCAGCTTGGGCTGGAGGTGAGCCCAGCCCTGAGCCACTCACTTTAAGGTGTCATCGGCGTTTTTGAACATGAGAATGGCGTTATAGATCTTCAAGGCCGGACCCAGCTTGACGCTCATGATCTTCACAATGTCCGCCTGTGTCAGCAAAAGGAAGGCCTCGCCGTCAATCATCTGAGGGGTTGGGGGAGGGAGGTGGAAAGCGGAGAAGGTGGAGAGGGCCGTGGGAAGGAGTGATGGAGAGGTGGGTGGGGTATGTGTAGGGAGTGGGCAGGGGAGAAAGAGAATCGGAGTCAAGGATGTGGGGGGGAACGGGGAGGAGAATAGAGATGGGAAGAGGAAGGAAAAGGAGAAACGAGGGAGGGAGAAAGGAAAAAAGGAAGATAGCGATGGGGACAGAGAAGGACAGAGATCTCCATTGGCTCCCCCATGTTCACACACATACTCTTTCTCTTTCTTTCTGCTGCCTGGTCTGAGGTCAGTGTGTGCGTGCATAATGTCTTCTGAGTCCTCCCAGCCAGTGGCCTCAAAGCAGGGCTGTTGCGCTTCCCCCGCAAAGCCCCAGGTTAGTGTCCCTGCTGCTGGCAGGTCAACACGCAGACACAGGGGGCATGCACAGGGGATGCAGTGGGATGTACACGGTGTCACCTATGAGCTATTCTTGCTGGGGGGTTGTGGGGAGAGAGGACGGGAGAGTAATTTAGTCTGAATCTGGGCTGGGCCAACCGCCAGACTGGACAGACTGACTACCTATGAGACCGTCAGTCTGCTTTGCCCTAATTTCTCACTCTAATGACTGGTCTGTGTCCCAGCCAGAGAGAATCTTGACGTTGTGTGTGTCTGAGTGTGCCATTTCAGCCCAACCACGGCCACTCCCTGGAGCGTGGTCCAGATCCTGGGGGAGGTGATGCCACGGACCAGATCCTGGGAAGGGTCATCTTCAGCCCTCACAGGCGTCCTGCTCCCCACTGAGACTCCATCTGATGCTGGTGGTCCACCCTTTGCCCCTTCTGGCCACTGCTTTTGTATCCGACCATGCCGAACTGAGACACGCAGCAGGTGCTCAGGGTGGGAGAGAGCCCTTCTTCTGACAAGGGGAGGATGCTGTAGCACCTAACTTTTGTGTGGCTCTGTGGCTGTACTCAGCAAGGAGTTACGACTGTCGTCACAGAGGGAGACCTCTAACCGGTGCCACATGCTTCTATCTCGTGAAACAGGTGTGGTAAAGATGTGGCTGAGTTACCAAATGACAAGGTGTATGAGACTGGAAAGGCTTACTGGTATTAGAGATGACAGGATCAAGATTTAAAACAATGAGACTATGAAACCAACAAAATAACATTTAATAGGGATAAATGTAAAGTTTTACATTAGGTTAATAAAAAAAAGAACAGTGGTACAAGTAACAAACTGGAAAATGTGGTTAGAATATAATGGATAATTGATATAATAAAAGGCACTTGGGGACTTTCGTGACCTCCAAGCTAGTCTGATGTGGCTATAATGAAGCTAGTGCAAACTTAATTTTTGCTTAAAAAAAAAAAAAAGAAAAAGAAAAGAAAAGAAAAATTATATAGGGTTTGCATCTAGGGGAAGAGAAAACAACCCAAATATCCAGTAACGGGAGAAGCATGGGCTCTTCATAAAATGGAGCAGAACTCAGCAATACGAATGGACAGACCACTGGTATACACGATAACACGGATGAGCCTGAGAAACATCACACTGAGTGAAAAGAGACAGACACCAAAGGATAAAAGCTGCACCCCCCTTTATGTGACGTCTGAGAACAGGTATAACTAACTTACGGTGCTAGAAATTAGAACAGTGGCCGCTGATGAGGGCGGGGACTGACAAAGGGGCCAAGAAAGACGTCTGTAAGAACTCCCTGGTATGATGGGAACGTTCTAGATCTTGGCTGAAGTGCTGGGTTCATGTGCGTTCGTCTCACGAAACTCGTGGAACTGTACTTCTAAGGTGCATGGATTTTGTTCCATGTACATTTTTAACTCCATTAAAAAGCATCTGGGTGTTGGTTCAACGATTCTAACAAGTGTGCCCCTGTGGTGAGCGCAGCTGATAAGGTGGGGGGGGGCAGGCTGTGCCTGGTGGTGGGTGGGGGTGTCAGGGTGGGGGTTGGATGGGGAATCTCTGTACTTTCCTCTCCATTTTGCTGTCAATCTAAAACTGCTCTGTAAAGATAAAGCCCTTTTAAAAACCAAACCAGAAAGCACGTATGGGAGAACTCAACCGGCGTGTTCTGTGCTGGTCAGAAAGCATCTGAAACCGGGGTACAGCCCTGAACACATATGTCAGAGTAAGACCACCAGCCCAGGAGGCAAGCACCTGGAGTGGGGTGGCATCTGTGGGCTCCCCCGCACGAGGTTACTATGAAGAACCGGCTGTGCTGGGTCTGGAGGGAATGAGTCTTCTCAGGGAAGAGGAACAGACTTCTTTCCTATGGGCGCCTTTCTCATTTATGGGAAGCTGAGACTACGCTTTCCTGGATGAAGGGGGATGGACGCGTGTATTCTTGGGAGGGGAGATCTAAACAAACTCCAAGCTACCCTTCCAGTTTCAAACTGTGTGAATTCGGAGAGTCACGATAAAACTCTTCACTTGAGGACTTAAGGACGACTATTCAGAGTTAAAACCACCACTGAGCCCCCAACCCCCACCCCAGTACCAGGCATTCTGTTATAGTGATAGGATTTGTGTATTACTCTATAGCAGGCTAGCGATATAATTATACTAGACATTCTGGTATCATGATCCATTCATCATTGCCATTGCTCAGGACAGCCCTGCGAGGCTGTCACCGTTATGGCCCGCATTATCCCTGTTTTAACTCATTTTATAGATAAGAAGATGCAGACTCACGCACAGTATAGGGCTCGAACTGGCAGAACTGGGATTCACACCCACCCTGTCTGTAAAGCTATGGTTCTTTTATGTACGACTCACTGCTTCTCGTCCTTGGTAAGCTTTCGGGTCTCGGTACTACGTATGTGTTAGGACGCTGGCAGTAAGAGGCAGACCTATGCCTTTCAGGACCCACTTGAGCTTACTGTCCCTAGTGAGCTGGGTTTGGAAGACGGGCCGCACGGAGAGCAGAGGAGCGAATGGAGCCCCGTCTCTGAGAGGCATTCTCCTTCCTGCGGTGATCTGAACACAGAGGGTTTGCAAGCTGGGCCACGGTCCATACTGGATTTTTCCCAGAGACGTGGGTCACTGTGACCAGTCTCCCACAGGCAGGACCACAGAGGGCGCTCCCTGGCAGGGGGCAGCGCTGCTGAGGGCATCTGCTCCCTGTTGCCTCAGTGACTGACCCTTCTGCCCCCACTCTGCACTTGTACCTCACCTCATCTTTGAAGAGTCGTGCCTGGTCCTCACAGCCGGTCAGGGTCTGAACGAAGCTGAAGACCTTGGAAACCAGAGAAGCACCTGTTGCCAAGGGGGTGGGGGCCTGGGAGCGCAAGGGGGAGGCGGGCCCACGTGCACTGGCTGCTCTTTGGGCTTTGACAGTGTCATTTTTCCTTATTAGCCTGCGAGGATGCTTGTGTCCCTGCTGCTGGGTGAGCGAGCCGGGGCCCAGGGGAAGCATCTCTCCCACTGGACTTGCATGGAGACTAGCAGCACGGGCCGCCCCCACCCGCCAGGGCAGGCCTGCTGAACCATCGCTCGGCCCCTGCCGGGCACCCACCCAGAGGGACCACGGACAGGAGACAGGAGCAGCAGATGCTACCAGGAGCTGAGTCCGCCTCTGCCTGCCAGGGGCCTTTCCTGAGCCCTCCCGCCGGGCTGTGGCGAGGAGGGCAAAGGAGGGGAGAGGAACGGGGATGGGTCCTCGCTCTCACCTCATCAATGGTCCACTTGGCAACCGCGGAGGCCGAGATGCCCGCCACTCCCGGCAGGAGCTTGCAGTGCTGCTCCCAGCACACGGACAGCGAGCGGTCCGGGTGGGCCGACAGGGCTGACATGAAGAGGGACTGGTGCATAGCGTCCACGGCTAGCGCTGCAGGCGGAGGCCAGCAGGCTGACTCTGAGGACGAAGCTGGTCCCCAGGGCCCGCTAATACCCATGCCCCTTGGGAGGACCACGGCCCCTTTCTGAGAGTCTTGCAGAGCCAAGAGGGAGGGCGATGGGAGCCCTCACGCACTGCTCACTCCCCCTGGTCAGGTAAGCCCCTCGCTTCACAGACTTCTGGGGCTCAGCTGTCAGGAGTGACTCCAGCCCCCTCTCTCTGAGGCTACATCACCCTGGGCCCCACGAGGAGATGCTGTAGCATTCCTGACCATTCTCTAGATGCCCTGCAGCAGAACGGCCTCCATCCGCCAAGGAGCTCAGCCCTGGCAGCAGAAGCCCATTCAGTTTGCCCTCCTCTTCCTGAGACCTTCGGGGCCCCGACCCACCGGCTGGGGGCCAGGGGGATTCTGTGCGGGAACCCGGCCTGGAAGCCGCAGCCACCGCCCCCAGCTCCTGTCCTCTCCCCTGTGCTCACCCGAGCCTGGTCCGGTTTGCCCGCTGCCTACGCGGACCTGCTCGCCACCTCCACGCTACCTGCCACCTGCCGCTCTGCCTGCAGTCCCGGCTCCTGGCCTTCAGCCTCGGCTGCTACAGGGTCTCCTGTGGGACGCTGCTCTGCTGGGCCTCCTTCTTGGCCAGGCCTGGCGCCCGCCTGCCTGGACTTCAGTTACCTTTGGCTGCTCTGACAAGCGTGGCCCCTGCCTCCCTCACTAGCCTCGGCAGGCCTGGAGCCACACAGTCACTGTCCCAAGGGGCTTGCGCTGCCTCTAACAGTCCAAGAGAGCTGCCTCTTTCCTGTTCACGGGGCATTGGTTCTGGACACGCGGCTGCAGCTTGCCACCACCCCCTTCTCATGGGGCCTCCCCTGCTCGTCACAGACTGTCCTTCCCTGACCCTTTGGCCCCTAAGCTTCAGCCTTTCACCTCAACTCTGCACTTCGCAGCCACCCTCCAAGCCTCTGGGATCCTATCAGCAGCCCCATGTGCCATTCTCTGCAGCTCCTCCTGCCATCCCTGCTTATTGGCCCCAGAGGGCCCCGCCTTGGGCACCACGAGGAAGCTGCCACCGTGCGCCGCTCAGCCAGCTCTCAGCGCCCACCTGCGGCCCCGGCAGCCTCTCCCCTGCCCGCTTCCGCCCCAGCGCTTTGTCTCCTGGCCACAGGTCTGGCCTCCTGCCTTTGAGGTCCTGTTTCTGGTTCTCCATGTACAGGTGGAGGAGTCTTGGGGGACAAGGCCACGAGGCTGTAGGGAGCTTTGTTCCTTATCTTTCTCCCCCAGAGCACGGGACAGGAGCTCTCACACATAGTCGGGGTGTCTCATCGAACTGCAAACTGACTTGGGGCCGGTCAGAACCTGCTACGGTTTGTTTTTTGCTTTGGGGTTTTTTTTTTTTGGCCTTATAAACAACAGAAACATATTCCTGACAGTCATGGCAGCTGGGAAGTCCAAGATCAAGGCACCAGCAGATTTGGTATATGGTGAAGGCCCACTTCCTGGCTAACAGATTGCCAACTTCTCACGGGGTCTCGCTTGGCAGAAGGAGCACTGGAGCCTCTGAAGTCTCTTTTATAAGGGCCCAGATCCCATTCATGAGGGCTCCACCCCTATGACCTAATCACCTCCCCAAGGCCCCACCTCCTAATACCGTCACACTGGGGATTCAGTTTCACATAAGAATTTGTGGGGGGACACAAACATTTAGTCCATAGCATTATTATTGTTGTTGTTGTTGCTGTTATTATTATATTATTGGATAAGCCCTTCTTCACCCTCTCTGGGCTGCAGCCTCAGTCTCCGAAAAGACTTAAGTTCTCAGGATGCTTCTGGAATGAACACACAGGCACACGCCCTCTGGTGGTCAGAACATGGCTCTGGACGGCAAGCTGGCCAGGTGTCCGTCCCATAGAGGGTAGAAAAGGTGCCCACTACAGTCCCATCCCCAGAAGTCCTCACCCTGGGGGCCTGAGAGGCTGGCCAAGCCCCTCCTCACTCAAGCCCGAAGCGGCAGGACGTGCCTTCTGCTTCCACCAGGAAGAGTACGGACTGGCAGCACGAGGAGGTCAGCCACACTCAGGGCTAATAATACCAGTAGGGACTGGTGTTAAGTCTTTACTTGACCTTTCCATTTAAGCGCCCAACTGCCTTCTGAGGTGGGCGTATTATCAGCATTGCACAAATGAGCCAGCCGAGGCTCAGAGAGGGGGTCACCTGCCCGAGGTCTCACGGCCGGTAAAAGGCTGTCTGGCTCCAGGGCTGTGCTTTTAACCACCATCCTAGATACCGCCCAGGTTGCAGAGACTGTTCCTGAAGAACCGGAACAGCTTAAGTGCTTAAGTGCTCTCCCACCCGCTCTTCTGGCCTCAAAGACAAGGGCATTCCACTCGACTGAGGTGAGATCGCCAGCACGCCTGCTGTGTGTCAGGCCCTGTACCAGGGCCTGAAGCCGTGAGGTCAATCTGTCACCCAACGGGAGGCTCAGTCACCCTGCCCCTCCCTTTGGAACATGCCATGAGGTTCACTGTGTTCCCCCCAAATTCACATGGTGAAGACCTAACCCCCAATGCCCCTGAATGGGACTATACAGTTAATCCTTGACCAATGTGGGGGTGAGGGGCACCAACACCCCATGCGGTCAAGTCCACGTAGAACTTTGACATCCCCCAGAACTTCGCTGCTAACATCCCACTGTTGACTGGGAGCCTTACCAACATCGTATACAATTACCATAGGTTTTCTATGTTATATGGATTATATACTGTATTCTTTCAATAAAGGAAGCTAGACAAGAAAACCTTATTAAGAAAATCCCAAAGAAAATACGTTGGCAGTACATGCTACAAAAAATTCACATGTAAGTGGACACACACAGTTCAAACCCCTTTGTTCAAGGGTCATCTGTACTGGGAAACAGGGTCTTCCAGCAGATGACTAAGTTCAAACGAGGTCATCAGAGTGGGCTCTCATCCAATCTGGTGTCCTAACAAGAAGAGCAATTTTGGACATGCGCAGAGAGACACCGGGAACACACACGCACAGGGGGTAGATTGCGGGAGGACACGGCGAGAAAGTGGCCATGTGCAAGCCAGGAGCAAGGTCTCAGAAGAAACCAACCCTGTGGATACCTTGATCTGGGACTTTGAGCCTCTGGAAGTGTGAGAAAATAAATTTCTGTGGGTTAAGCGGCCAAGTCTGTGGTACTTGGTCGTGGCACCCAAGCTAAGACAAAGGAGATGGAGGGGTAACTGACATCTGGCTAGGTGCTTCCACTCTGTTACACCAGCGGCACAGGGCAGAAGTCAGACCGGAGTCTGAATCCCAGCTCTACCCCTTACAAGTCGAGTGACTTTGCCCTCTGAGCCTCCCAGTCCTCTTCTCTCAGCAGAAGAGAATGGTGTCCATGTTATAGGATGCCTGTGAGGGTCAGCGACCGTGTATGTAGAGCGCCTGTGACAGTGCTGGGCCCACAGTAGGTACTCAGTAAGTAAGTAAGTAAGTAGTTATTCTAGGTACTTGATACCTGAAAGAAGTATTAGTCATGTCTTCAAATGAGATTGAGACTCGGGAGATATTAAGTGACTTGCTTAGGGTCACGCAGCTAGACAGTGAAAGCCACGCCTCCCTCCCAGAAGGAGCAGAGCTGGGGGCCTCCTCCTGCTGCACAGTGGGGATCCTGAGGCTCAGAGACTCACAACAGGGTCTCCAGTGAAGTGGGGCTGGAACCTGAAGGGACTCCTGAGCTCTCGCCTCTGCTCTGTGCTCTGCAAGGGCCTGAAAGGAAGAGGCGGCCTCCCTTCCACTTGTCCCTTTTGGGTCCCCTGGTGACTCATCCCAGCAATCACTAAGCACGCACTGTGAACACGGTGTGGAGGGCATGGCAGTAGAGGACTCAGGACTTACTTGGGAAATCTTCCTGTGGGATCTTCCGGTATTTAGGAGGGCGTCCAATCCTGGAGAGAGAGGGACCCAGTCCGTGGCAGGGAATCAGTGCCTGGCCTGGCCCCAGAGGACACGAGGCCCTGTACCCTTGCCCTCCGCACCGGCCATGATGGCGAGGCTTCTTCCTTAGGGAGAAGCCCGAGAGGTTCCTCTTACGGGCCGAGGCCTCTGTGTCGGATAACTCCGCCTTCAGCCGACTCTGGTTCCTCTCAGCCAGCGGGCAGCCCGAGAGGCAATGGTGAGCTGTGAACTTGCCTGTGACGTGTCCGGAACCATCACAACCAGGAGTGGGGCACTTCCTGGGGAAGAGGTAGAAGGAGGAGGCTTACGCTGGGCTGAATCCACTTGTTCCCACTGAGCCCTTCCCCAGGCTGGCCCCCTTCGGAGAGTGTTTTGGGGAACCTGATGGGCCGCACGGAGGAGGTGTAGAGGACCCCTCTCTGAATAATGCCGGAGGGTCTCCGAGTAGGAGCCCTTCACTCACCGGTGGTGAAAGCTGTACTTGGAGGTCCTAGTGTGTGGCAGGCTCCGACAGCTGAGAGGGGGACAGCCCCCGGGGGAGGCAGAGCTGGGCTCTCTGGGTCCTGGGGGAGCAGGAAGAAAAGAGTTAGCATGAGGTCCGGGACTGGGGGTGGGAAGGGGGATGTAGAGCAGGGAAGGAACACTTTCTCTGGGGAAGGTCAGCACTAGGAGCTAGCGCCCAGCTACGGGGCCCTAACAAAGACTGTGACATCATTTCCTGCTACTGAGTAGCCGCTCCTCCTTGGGGAATGAGGGCTTGGCTCTCATATGCTTTGTCAAAACCCCAGGCCATGTCCATTGTCTATGAGAGGAGATCCCTATGGGAGAAAACCAACTCCAAGCTGGTGTGGGCACAGCAGTAGCTTAGAAGCCACATCAGGCACAATTATGTTACCCTGTCTGCTTCCCTGTTTTGTTCTTGAGACTCTGGTAACTTTCTTTAGGCCCTACTCGTATTTGCAGAAAAATCGAGAAGGATCGACACCACATGTGTCTTGGGGCTAAGTGGTCCGATGACCTGACCTCCCAGGCCACCTGCAGGAACCAGAATTTTATTTAAGGGAACCCAGCTTCCTCAGCAAACATAATGTGTGCTCTGTGTGCCTCTGCTGGGTGCTGAGGGAACCCCCGGGGCGCAGAGCTCCCTCCTAGGCACACTGAAGCAGCCTAAACCCAACAGCCAGGGAAGCCAGAAGCACAGCTCAGTGTAGCAGAGACCCCTGAGGCAGGGAGGATGGGGGACCCAGAGCTCACTGTGGGCACCGGAGCCCACCTGTGCATGACGGTCAGAATCCCGTGGATTCTACAGGAGGGGGACAGTCAGAGCTCATGGGGTTGGGGCAGACTTCTTAGTAGGAAAGGGTCCGAGTGTCCTAAGCGTACGCACGGAGAGGAGGCTGCAAGGGATGTCCTGTCTTGGAGCACCAGCCCGCAGGGTGGATGTCTGGGTGGTCGGCGTCAATCCAGAAGTCATAGGCGTGACTCCAGCCATCAAAGTGGAGCTGTGGAGGAAAGGCCGTTGGCGGTCAGGCGTTCCTCATGTAGCCCAGCTCAGCCAGGAGATCCTCCAAGCTCCAGGAGGTTCTCTCTGTCCCCCAGGCCTGTCAGAAGCGACATCCTGGATTGGAAGGACCAAGCAGCCAACCTCACAGTAACCCGCCTCCGCCACCACATTTTCCAAGGACAACCTTCTTAAGTTACTGGCATCTTCCATTAATCTAGGCACAGGACAAGGGTCATCAGACCCACATGGACGGCTCAGAGAGGGGAAAGGACTGGTCCCAGCTCATCAAGATCACTCATGGACGAGGGCAGAGGGAAACCCAAGATCTTCAACCTTGAGTATAGAGCTCTCCTCCCTACAACATGCAGCCTCCCTTACGTCTGGCTCCTGCCATGCCCTTGACCGCAAAGCCGTCTACAGAATTCCTGCCCAGACAGGCTGTACACTCCCCAGTCCAAGGGGCCCAGAGCCACCTTTATCCGATGGTCCTCCACGTCCTCCACGCTGGCCACGCGCACCAGGGCTGGGTTCCTACGGTCCACGGCCTCCAGTTTCATGTTGACCAGAAAGCTGTGTGGGGCCCGCTGCAGGAGGACAGCAGCCTTCAGGCCAACGCCCAGCTCAGGGGGGCCGAGGCCCCAAGGACAGAGGCCAAGTGCTGTGCCTTGGAAATCGTGGCCTGCCAAAGGGGCAGCCTTCCATTGGGCTGGCTGAGTATTCCATGCCTTCCCAGAGGTCAACTCTGGGAGCAGAGAGAGCTGACTCACCACCTTGAAGGCCCAGGTGGGCACAGCAGATGCCCCGGTTTCTTCCAGATACTTCTCCCAACAGAAGCTATCAGGGTCTGGGTAGTCTGGAGGAGAGGATGAGAACAATGTCTAGGCACCCCTGCACACTTGGGGAGTTCTCTCTCCCCAAAACAGGACCAGGAGCTCAGAAGGGGTACAATCCCCCTCACCCCCAGCACCACCAGAACCAGCTCCTGGCAGGGGCTCCTGAGGCAGAGGGGCGCTAACCAGAACTAAGCACATCACCACCCCACAGTTCACTGTGGGTTCCCGGGCTGTCTGGGAACCCTGGCTCCCAATCCCCCGTCCCCGGCCCCGCTGCTCCAGCCCTAGCCCCATACCCATCGGAAACTTTCTTTGCTTTAGATTCCTGCTTCCGTGTTGGGGCTGGGGAGGGGGGTCATTTAACTTTCTTCCTTAAACCTCAACAGAATCGGGGGTTGACAGGTCTCTCCTGACATCAAAGACTTCTCAATTCCCAAGCCAAAAAGATGAGGCTCCAGGACCCAGATCCTAAAGGCCCTGCTACTGAGGCCCTGCGAAGGGGTTGGTGGAGGAGAGGGCTGTGGAGCTAGGCCTGGGAAGGGGCATCTTCTCAGGCAGCAGGGTCACCTTGTGGAGGGGTGAGGGGCTTTCCTTGCTTCTGGCACCAGCCCACCGGGTGGATGTAGGGGCTGCTGGGGTCACACCTGAAACCGAGAATACTTCATTGTCCCAAGGGCCACTCTGAGGACGAGGACAGCATGGCTTCAGTGCCCATCCTCATTTTGCTGCTTGGTGACAGCTATACAGATGGCTGGTAAAAAAGGTCAGAAAACTGCAGCATTAACTACAAACTATAATAAACCATAATATTGCAGGGAAAACCATGAAACACAGCAGCTCGCTCATCCTCACCTTGGTATTTTTAGATGAAACATCTGATATTACACTGTGTTGCTGAGGATACAACAGATCAAAGCCACAGGACAGTCAGTGAGCCCCAGAGCAAATATCAATGTCAGGACCAGGCAGGGGCCACGTGGGGCCCAAGTTCTGAAAGTCCTGCCTGGGGCTCCAGCCTCCCCCCCCCCGACCCAAGGCCAAGTCTGGGCCCTCTCACTACCAGTAGTCGTAAGTATCATCCCAGTTGTCAAAATGCACTAGGAAGCGGCTGTCCACCACGTCGGTCACGCTGGCCACGCAGACGAGGGACGGGTTCATGCGGTCCACTGCCTCCAGCTTCATGCCCACCTGGAAGCCCAGGGGTGGGGGGCTCTGGGGGCAAGAAGAGGGGCTGCCATGGCCAGCCCCAGGCTGGCTAGCATGAACCCAGAACCCCCTGGCCCAGGAAGGAGGAAGTTCTCTAGGAGTCATTCCTGGGGTGGGGTGGGGAGCAGGAGAGAAATCGGCTGAGAAAGAGGGTCCCTCCAGGGCAGAATCCTAATCCTCAGCCCGGAGCCACTCGGGAGCTTCTGCTCTCCAAGGTATGCTCACAGAGAGCCTCACTGAGCTGGAAGCTGAGGGACAGGAAGGAAGTTACACATTCCCCCAGAGTCCGCCAGGGTGAGCACAAGCCTCTCCACCCCAGGCAAGCCTGGCCAAGCTTGCACTGAAGCTGACAGGGCACTGGGGAGGGAGGAGCTGACGTGAGGTGGGGAGAGGGGAGGGAGGGCATCTGTCAGGCATAAGCTTCCAAAACTGTCACCTCCCTGTTGACCTTTACTACAACCCCATGGAGATAGGTACGATCATCCGCATTTCATAAGTTAAATAACTTGCCCAGAACCACAGTGCTAGTCAATGGTGGGACCAGGATTTCAACAGTTTGACTTAAAAGTCTGGATTCCCTGTCCTCATAGTGGGTAGAATGCCCAGTCACCTGGGATCCTGGGGCCAGACCACGGTGGGGGAGTAAGGGTCCCTGTCTGCATGGCACGGGGATCCTTTGACCCGCAGCGACTTTTGATATGGTGACAACTTTAACGGGGGTTCCTTAAGTCTCTCAGACCTTTGGCTGGGGATCAGGAGCTACTTTAACTGCTGGATAAAGCTGCCAGCTGCCTTGAACAGAGAAGAAGGCAAGGAGTGAGTGTTGGGACTAAGTGGGAGAACTGAGGTATTGGTCAAAGGGAAGGAAAAAGCAGCTTCCAGAGCACAGGCTTGGTCCTTACCACCAAGACTTGCAGAGCAAACCAGAGCAAGAAACCAGCACAGTGACATCCCAGGGCCTGGGCCAAGCTGGTGGCCAGGGACTCGCAGTGGGTGCTCGGAGGAGAGGGCTTCTGCAGTGGGGCGGAGGGGAAAGCGGGGCGGAACCTATAACCAGCTCCCCTTCTGGCCCTGGGCCGGCCCAGAGCGCCACCCCCCGGCTGGGTGGGAGGGACCAGAACAAAGCTGAGAGCACTGGGAGCCAGAACAAAGCTGAGAGCACTTTCTCCTGGAGGAGTCCGGACAGCCAGGCCCGAGGCAGGGACTCTGTCCTGGAGGGTGGTGTCCACTCTCGCCCCGGGGCACTCACGTGGCTCTGGCTCATGAACAGGTGCTTGGGGGCGGCCTGAGCTCGTGTGCTGCGCAGGTATTGGCCCCAGCTGAACTCCTCCTCCTTGTAACCTGGGCCCCTCAGGGGGGAAGAAGAGAGGGCCGTGCAGACAGAGGCTGGGCCCGCAGCAAGGGTGGCCCACACCCAAGCACCAGAATAGGGAAAGCCCAAGGACCTCCCAACCCTCAAGAGCCCGCCCGGGAAACCCTGCTGAGGCGGGATGTGACCTGGGTAGACACCCAAGGGGCAAGGGCAAAGCAGAAGCCCTGGGCTCCTAGTTACAGTGGGATTGCATGAAGGCCAGCTGTGGAATGGGGAGTAAGGAAGGGGAACCTAAGGGGAACAAGGGAAGGTCACTGTGAGCAACCCAGCCAGGCCTTACCTTTGGGGGGCTGCAGCTTGTGTCCAGTCTTCTCGAACCAGCCGGCAGGGTGAATGTCAGGGGAGTTGGCATTGATCCAGAAGTCATGGCACTCGGAATACCCATCAAAGTGCAGACGTAGGCGGTAGCCACACACCTAGCCCCAGGATGGGGAAATCACAGGGACTCTGATGACGCCAGCAGACACCCACTCCTTCTCCCTCACCTCTCCTAGCCCAGGCTGGTGGTCTCAAGGGTCTCAAATGCTAGCAGATTCCCCACCCCACCACTCTTCCCCCCATCCCAAACGTGGCCCCGAGCTCTCCCATCCCACATTGAGGACAGATCAGGTACTCATGAGCCCTGAGCTCTGGGTGTGACAGGCGGAGTCTAGGACATCCTCTTACCCTTTGGAGCCCTGGACAGAACCCCACGGGCACCTACCAAGGCTCAGGCCTGTTCAGGCTCAGCCTTGCCTTCTGCTACCGTGCCTCCCTGCTCTCCGCTCACACACTGCTCTGACCTCACCAAGCTGATGGCAGCTCCTTGAACTTGGCACCCTTGTCCATGCCCCAGTACTTTTGTTCCTTTGCTACTTCTGCCAGGAACACCCTACTCATTCACAACTTATCCCTCGAGGCTCAGCAGGAGGACTTTCCTCTATGAAACCCCTTCTACCCCCTCGGTGCGGCCCTGCGCAACCTCTGTTGCTCCACTCCCATCCCCGCTGCCCCTGCCCGCCCGTGCCGCACGTTGCTGATGTGTTTATCTCACTGATTCCCACACCACAAACTCCCAGAGGACAGGACCTTGGTTGGACACACATACACATCCCTGCTCTCAGCCCCTCTCCTCCTCGGGCTGCCCCCCACCCCTGCACGGAAGGACACACCATTCAGTAACATCACCATGCCCAATACTCTGGTGTTCGTTCCTTTTTTAGCTTTCTGTGTGTTCCACCATAAGCCCCTAAAGATTGTGCTTTCTGAGGGCAGGGCAGCATCTCCCTCATCCAAGCCAGGCCCTCCATGTCCCCAGCAGTCCCCGTCAGTCTACCCAAAGAGACATCGCCAGAATGTGGGTGCCTGCCTCAGCTCACCTCGGCCACGGTGAGGATGAAGTACATGGACGGGTGTTGAGGGTCGATGCCTTCCAACTTCATGCCCGGTCTGAAGCCATTCTTATTATGAGTGACTGCCTGGTACTGTCAACGCACAGATTGGGGAGGACCCAGCCTCCATCCAGCCTTATCCTTGCCTAGTGGGCTTGGGGTGAAGGAGCTGCCTTTAGGCCCCACCCGCCTCATATTACCAAAGGGGTAACTTATTTGGGGATCTTTAGTGCAAGGAGCAGGACAGACTAGCTCCCGAGTCCTCTGAAAAATATGGGCTAAGTCAGGGCTGGTCTAAAGGGCTTCCCCTTACCCAAGTCATGAGAAGATGAGCGTACAGAACTGGGTAGAAGGTACGAGGGTTGCAGAGTCCACAGGTGCAGTATGGGCAAGCCTGGGTCCCACCTCCCTACTTTCTCCTACCCTGAAAGCCTCTCATGGTGAGTCCCTTTTCTATTCTGGGACCTTAACCAGCCTCTCCCCTTTCTATTCTGCCAGGTTTTTTTTTTTTTTTTTTTTTTTTTTTTTTTTGAGGGATATCAGACACACAATACACCAGAAGGTCTAAGTTTGATAGTGAGTTCCTGGACTGGGCATACAAGCTCTTCCCAGGTAGAAATTATCCGACTCACGTCCTGGAAGAGGCTGACAGGGGCAGTGACAGCCTTCTGCTCCTCGAGGTAGGACTCCCATGACCAGCCTTCTTTCTTCTCCCCTGATGCTGTGAACAAGAGACAGACAGACTGACCCCTGGACTGCTCCCAACAGATTCTTCTTCTCAGTTTCCCCCGAATCAACTCTACCTTACCTCCAAAACAAACCCTTCTCTATGGTTGTGTGCCGCCCTCTGGGACCTCCCAGCCATGATGGCCCCAGACCCAGAGTCTCAGACTTTAGGTGAGCCTCAATCTCCAGTGGGGCTACGCCAAATTCTGTCTGCCCTCATCCCCCGGCCACTGTCAGGAAAAGTACTTTGGACTGTAGAGCACGTAACTGAGGTTACAAAGTCTCAGCCACAGAGAGACCCTGCTCTCTGACAAAGCTGAGTGGCAAGTCCTGAGCCAGAGGACTTCATTGCCTAATCTCATGGGAGAAAAGAGGAAGAGAGAAAGGAAAGAGAAAACATGGAAGGAGGAAGAAACAGAGGAGCAAGATCACACAGAAATGAAAAACTCTCATTTTTCCATCCTCCTTCTGAACACAGAGGTACGCACAGACACACAAATACATACCCATGTGTCTGGCATGCCCACAGGATAGAGACAGATTGTATGGCCCTCCCAGACATACACATGCTGTACGTGCACGCGCACCCCCGCCCCACCAAGCACGTGCATGCACGCTACAGTCAGGGCCTACAGCCCTCAGAGCTCCAGGTCCTGGGGAGGGCGAGGGGAGACCAAGTCCCCTGAAGGAACTTCATGTTAGCCTGTGGTGGGGACCTGGCCACCAGCACAGAAGAGAAACATCCTTTAGAGACTAGAACAGCTGGCAACGTGTGAGGTAGGCTCACGAGGTCAGCCTGGGCTGCCTTCAACTGAAGGCCACACAATGAAAGAGGCAACTACTTGCAAAAATCAATTCATGTCCCTTGGGAAAACAGCCCCAGCTTCTTCTAGTAACTTCTCTGTCCCCCATTTTGTCATCTGCAATATGCAGACGACTTCATCTACCACAGGGAGTCGTTGGGAGGAGTAAATGAGATGCTGGGAGTAAAAGATCTTCACGAAATGCAAAGTCTGGTCTTGAGTTTCTGGACTCCCTGGGGCTCCCTTAAGTCTGTCTTACCTGGATTCTATCTCTGCCATGCTCTGGCCCACCTGGCTGCTGCCCTGGTCATCCAGATGTGGAGGGCTCTGTCACTCACAAAGACGGTTTTTTCTTTAGTTGGAACCTAAGTGGCTAGAAGCTCCTCCCCAGAAGCTGCCTACGGTCTGGGGTCACTGGGCTGAGCCTGACCCAGCTGGGCCAGAGCAAGGATTTTCTTCATCATCAGACTCTCAGACACCCACACGGACACACCAGACAGAGCACATCCTCTGTCCTGAGTGAAATCTGGATTGTCCCAAGAACGCATCACCTACTGTGCTCCCTCAAGAAAGCCTTGCTTTTCCCACTCGGCCTTTCTCCAGACTTCCTGAACATGCCAGGGGAGAGAATAGGCTTCGGGACCCCAGTCTTCGGGACAGTCTCTCTGTCTCTCACCACTACAGTCCCACATCATCCTGGATAATATCTCCCCACTTTTTCCAAATCACCACTTCTATCACTAGCTCTTCCCATCACCCATCCCTTTCTCTCTAGAGATGAGATGACATTCTTCTCTACTCTTTTCCTCACCATAACATGAGCCACTTGTCGGATTTCTCCCCTCAGGCACCTCTGCCCCTCCTCGGTCCTAACTCCCAAGTTCATCTTCTGTCATCAAGTTCATCTTCTGTCGGCCGTACCCCAAAGTGGCCGAGTCCTAAGACCCCCCGTGCTACAGCAGAGACCTCTGACTTCATCTTCTGTCCCTTGGCCTCCCAACTCCCAACCTTGTCATTTGGCTCTTTAATTATCTGGATTCTCTCACTAGTCATGATGCATAATAAGTATACAGACGGCGCAGTTTGTTCTCAAACGCCACTTCCATTAACCTTAACCGTTCCTTTACCACTGAGTGGGACCTCCTGTGTGCCAGGGCTGGTGCCAGAAACCGGGGGTACAGGGATGCCTCAGCGACTTCACATCCATGGACCCCTTTAATCCTCATACAATGCCTTGAGGAGAAAGGTAGGATTCATAGTAATCCTTTTCACAGATGAGAAAAGAAATTATCCAGAATCCACTGGAAAAGGGGCCTGATTACTAAACCTTTCAGTCCTGATTAGGCCTCCTCTCCCTGACCAAAACCCCAGCCTCCTCCAGTTGCCTGCATCCGTCTTCCACGGTGAACAATGGGCTGAGATGTTAGGTACAACCTCCAGACCAGAGAAGTCCCAAAGCTCCTGGGTACAGGTGTGTGGTCTGTGCACTGCACACAGACGCCCAGCCAGGAGGGTGAATGTGGGCTGACATTCAGCTGGGGCTCCTTGCGGAGCCGTGATGCTGAGTCTACTCAGGTTGCCTTTTTCTAATTGGGTCTGCTCAGAAAGGACATGTGTCCCAAGGTATGGTACAGACTCCCTGTGGTCCTGATCCTCTCTTGACTTCCAGAAATGCTCCTTTGCTTACTCCTGCTTCCTTAGACCAGGCGCTCTCGGCTAGCACTTTCTTCAGCTAGCCCAGGCGGTCCAAAACCAAGCTCGTCGCTTCTCTGGCCTTCTCAGTGCTGTCTATTTCAGTCTGTGGCACCAGCATCCATTCAACCAGCCACATAAGGCACGGGCTTGGGAGGGATCCTTCAGGTCTCTCTTTTCACCCCCAAGGATCCTTCAGTCCCCGAGACCTGTTGACTCCAGCTCTACCCGGCTCTGGAACTATCCCCACCTCTCCGTGCTCACTGCTCGTCTGGCTTTGAACCTGGTCCAAGAACCTCTGAATTGATCTCTCCGCCTAAGATTCAGTCTATTACCAGAAAAGCTCTAAAATAAAACTGGCTTATTTCTTTGCTTTAAAGTCCACGATAGCTTCTGATTTACAATAAAAAAAAAATGGAAAAATCCAGACATCTTTCTGCAGCATACAGAGCTCTCCGTGAACTAGCCTGGTCATGCGTTTCCATGCCCCTGGTGCTTCTGTGCATGTGCGCACCCTAATCCCTCTGCCTCATAGATCCTGCCCATCCTATCCCTTGACCAGAGATCCTGTCCTATCTTATCTTCTTTTTTTTTTTTTTTTAATATATATTTTTTTAATTTGACAGACAGAGATCACAAGTAGGCAGAGAGGCAGGCAGAGAGAGAGAGGAAAGCAGGCTCCCCGCTGAGCAGAGAGCCCGATGTGGGACTCGATCCCAGGACCCTGGGATCATGACCTGAGCTGAAGGCAGAGGCTTTAACCCACTGAGCCACCCAGGCGCCCCCCATCTTATCTTCTTCTCATCCTTCAAGACCCAGCCATAGCTCTGGCACCTAGCACAGGGTTTTACACAGAAAGGTGATCACCAAATGCTTGTTAAATGAATGACCAGAAGGATGGATATATGCATACATGGATGTATGGAAGACTGAATGTATGGATGCTTGGATGCTTGAATGCTTAGATGCACGGATGTATGGATGCTTGGATGGATGGATGCAGAGATGGAATGTCACCCCACCTACCTACCCCATGAAGCCCTCCTTGACTATATGAGGCAGTTTGTTCTGTGACGGCCCTTCGTACCTACATATCTCAAACACAACACTTACTCTACCATTGCATGATAACTACCTGTTCATACATCTCACCCTGACATCAGACTACGAGTTTTCTAAGGGCTAGTACTGTGTTTTGCTTAGTCTGAACTCTTCTATCTCAATAGAGCTGGGGGAAAAAAAGAAACAAAGGAAGAAGGCATGCACAGTATTAAGAGAAATAAAAAAAGGGATATCACCACATATCCTGCAGACTTAAAAGACAAGAGGGTATTATGAACAACTTTACATCCTTCTGACACACTTCTTTCTGTATCACCCAGTCTCAGGCCCACCTCTGCGCACTAGTGAAGTTGTTCTCGAGTCACCAGAGCCACAGTCCAGTGACTTTTTCTCATTCCTCAACTCTCTTGATCTGCATGTGCTACCAACACCCCTTCCATCTGCGCATTTCTTTCTTGCCGCGCTCTCTTAGCTATATCTTCCTCCTCTTCTTTTGCCATCAGTGGTTCTTCTGTCTCTGACCCCAACCCAGCTCCTCAATGGTGGATCCCTTGAAATACAGTAATTTCCCCTGATTTTCTCTCTTTCTGCTCAATCTCTTAGGAAGCTTCTTTGGCACTTCTTCAGTCGTTTAAGTAGAAAGAATTTGTTGGGGCACCTGGGTGGCTCGGTTGGTTGAGCAACTGCCTTCAGCTCAGGTCATGATTCTGGAGCCCTGGGATCGAGTTGCGCATCAGGCTTCCTGCTCAGCAGGCAGTCTGCTTCTCCCTCTGACCCTCACCCCCTCATGCTCTCTCTCTTTCTCTTTCTCAAATAAATAAAATCTTTTTTTAAGAAGATGTTTTACAAAATTTATTTATTTGACACAGAGAGAGGGAGATCACATGTAGGCAGAAGAAGGCAGAGAGAGAGGGGAAAACAGGCTCCCCACTGAGCAGAGAGCCAGATGCGGGGCTCAATCCCAGGACCCTGAGATCATGACCTGAGCAGAAAGCAGACACTTAACCATCTGAGCCACCCAGGAGCCCCACAAATAAATAAAGAAAATTTTAAAAAGAAAAAACGTTAAAAAAAAAAAAAGAAAAAGAAAAACGAAAAGAAAAAACATAAAGAGAATTCACAAAATTAATGGTTCTAGCCAGACTTTCCACTAGGAACACAGAACTGAAGAGGGTGAGCTCCAAAATGGTATGGTCTACTCTTTACCTGGCCTTCAGTTTCCAGTAAATATAAATGGACCTTTTTGAAAACCTAATGAAAGCCATGGACCATCTCCCCAGAAAAATAAACAATTCACAGAATTTTGCATGTAAATTTAGTCTAGGGACCTCAATTAAGAAGGCATCTAGAAGAGTCATACTGACTAATGACTTATACTGAATCCCACGCTCATTCCCAATTTGTTCCCCAGCTCTGTAAGGGATTCCTTGTATTTTGATAAAAAATATGTTTCTTCCATGTCATTAAAAAATGGCATGGCTCTGAATAAACATTTCTCCGAAGAAAATATATACATGGCTAATAAGCACATGAAAAGATGCTCACCATCATTAGCCATCAGGGAAATGCAAATCAAAACCACAATGAGTTACCCCTTCACACTCACCCGAATGGCTATAATAAAAAAAGACAAGGGTGCCTGGGTGGCTCAGTGGGTTAAACTTCTGCCTTTGGCTCGGGTCATGATCTCAGGGTCCTGGGATCGAGCCTGCATCGGGCTCTCTGCTCAGCAGGGAGCCTGCTTCCTCCCCTCTCTCTGCCTGCCTCTCTGCCTACTTGTGATCTCTGTCAAATAAATAAATAAATAATAAAATCTTAAAAAAAAAAAAAAAGACAACAGCAAGCACTGATGAGGGTGTGAATAAACGAACCCTCATATGCTGCTGGGGTGGGGGGAGAGAAAATGGTACAGCCACTCTGGGAAACAGCCTAGCAGTTCCTTAAAAGGCTAAACGTAAAAAAAAAAAAAAAAGCTAAACGTAGAGTTACCACATGACCCAGCAATTCACTCCTGGGTGCATACCCAAGAAAAATGAAAACATATCCACACAAAAACTTGTACACAGATATTCCTACCAGCACTACTCATGATAGCCCTGAAGTGGAAGGAACCCATATACCCAACAATTGACAAATAAAGTGTGATACATCCATACAATGGACTATCATTCAGCAGTAAAAAGGAATGAGATACTGATGCACGCTACAATGTGGATAAACCTTTAAAACACGGGGCTAAGAGGCGCCTGGGTGGCTCAGTGGGTTAAAGCCTCTGCCTTCGGCTCAGGTCATGATCCCAGGGTCCTGGGATCGAGCCCCGCATTGGGCTCTCTGCTCGGCAGGGAGCCTGCTTCTCCTCCTCTCTCTCTGCCTGCCTCTCTGCCTACCTGTGATCTCTGTCTGTCAAATAAAAGAAAAAACAACAAACAACAACAACAACAACGGGGCTAAGTGAAAGAAGCCCGTCACACAATGCCATGTATTAGATGTTCCCACTTATGTGAAATGTCCAGAACTGGCAAATCACATCCGCAGAAAATGAATTTGGGGTTGCCTAGGACTATAGGAGGATGGTGGTTTGGGGGGAATGACAGCTCATGGGTATAGGGCTTCTTTTTGGAATGATGAAAATGCTTTAAAACTGAATGTGGTGATGGTTGCACAACTCCGTGGATACACTAAAAAAACACTGAATTTGTACAAGTCAAATGGGTGAATTACATGGTATGTGAATTCCATCTCAATAAAGCTGTTCAACACTACTTTGTAAAATTATGTATGAAGCACTGCTTAAAATGGATAAAGTCGACATCATCAAAATGAAAGCATTCAGTTCTTCAAAAACCATCATTTAGAAAGGAAAAAGCAAGCCACAGAGTGGGAGAAAATATTTGTAACATATACATCTGACAAAGGACTTATATGCTGAATATATAAAGAATAGGAAGAAGATAAACAACCCAATTCAGAATGGATAAAAATGTGGGGTGCCCGGGTGGCTCCGTCGGTTAAACGTTCAACTCTGGATTTTGGCTCAGGTCATGAGCTCGGGGTCTTGAGATCGAGCCCTGCACTGGGCTCCGTGCTCAGCAGGGAATCTGCCTGAGATTCTCTCTCATCCTCTCCCTTTGCCCCTCCACCTCTCTAAAATAAATAAATACATCTTAAAAAAAAAAAAGAATGGGCAAAAACACATGTCTGAGGTAACTAAAGGGAGACAGAACAGGAATTTTGGGGATCTGCTCTGAATCTGAAAAGGCTGTAACAGGTTGACCCGAAAGAACGCCACCACAGATACCTGATCTGGACATCAGAAGAATGAGAGGTGACGTAAGAATATCAAAACAGCTATTAATGACGACATATATTGTGAAGACTTTGACCACGGTGTGTTAGAAAAGATTCCTCAGACGAAGCAGCCATTGAAAACGTGACGTGGATACATGAGAGAGAGAGAGCCCGAGTGCATACATGAGTTACAAGGCTCTAACTCATGAACTACTGGAACATTCTGTCAGGACTAGACACGTCAGGCCGTTCAGCATGAACCCAGGAGCTGGCCGTCCAACTGCCAGAGTGTGGCTGTAACATGGATTCTCCACACACACAGGACACTCAAACAACCCTGCTACCCTTACCCCTCATGCCAGATTCTTCTGCCAAAAGACCCCAAAAACAACTGGAAAAAAACTGAGCCATCCATACATGCAAACTTCTGCCAGCTGATAGAGTATCTTCCCTTGGAAAAAGGAAAAAGGATGCAAGGAGGAAAATACCCAGAAATCAATGCCACACCAATGTTTATTTACCATCGAGATGGCAAGAGGTATGAATCAAAAGATAACCATACTGGCCAACAGGACCCAGCTAGAAGAATGCTGATTCATGAATGGATTCCCTAAGTAAGAGCAGCTGAGCCACTGTCTTGGTGGTTGGACTGTCTCCTTCTTCTAGGTAAGATTTAAGAAGCCATAAACCAATGAGAGCTATGCTTTCAGCTTCTGATGTGAGAGCCTTGGGTTGAGAGACAACAGTGAAAATCTGGTTTGCTTGCAATGGGCAGAATTTCTAACAGACACTGCAGAGTTCGGAGCCCAGGATATAGACAGGGTTCCTCTGGCTGGTACTGGATCCGTCAAGGCATAATGTCCTAAGAACTCACCTCATCCTCTGGCTCTCTCTGAGACAGGAAAGACAGTCACTCAGGCAACGTGAGCCACAGTCCGAGGGGAATCACCAACACACACCTCATGCATTCCTGAACCGAGCAAACACTGAGAGTCTACGTAACACCAGTCGCTGAGCTAAGCACCAGGGATACGATGATTAATCAAATAAACTCAGTTTTGAGGGAGGAAGACAGACATTAAACAAGCTGTTATACACTACCTACGTGATTACAAGTGTGATGAATGCTACTCAGCTCCAGCTGACTGTTGTCACACGGGAATGGAGAAGGCCTAAGGGCCAGAGCTGACTATAAATGGCCTTTGTTCCCCCCTCTTTTTTAAGAACCAGAAGGCCAGAATGGGGGCTCAGATAGCAAGGACAGACCAACGGCCAGCAGAAGCTTGCTCACACCACCAAAGGGAAGCAATGCCATGTGACGCCATTAAAAGCTGTTTAAGTCTTTGGGTTCTGAGCCTGGCTGTGAGGCCCACTCACGACTGGCTAATAGAGGATAAACAAGCACATGATACAATCCCTCCGTAAATACACATATACTCATGCGTAAACCAGAAACATCATGTCTCATTTTTCTCTCTCTCTCCCTCACACATACACTAATTTATACTCCTCTCTGTATGTACAACACACCACCACATACGTAACCCATACTTCCAGCCTCACACCTCCAAAGATGTATACACACATTACACCAGCGTAGACACACACGGAGATGCCGTACCAGACTGGCTGTTGTTGCAATCCTCACTCTCTGGGGTGCTAGCAGCCGGCTGTCCCTCTGGATCCTTTCCTTCTTCTTGCTTCTCCTGTGGAAGGCAAGCCTCATTCCTGTCCTCACGGGTTGGAGTGAAGCCCCAGACTTATTCCAGGCCCTGCCTGGCTCTCTGGTCACATGGTATTCTGCCCCAAACAAGTGGAATTTCTTCTAGGTCACCAGCAGGAGCATGGCTCCAGCAGGCAACCCCCTACCACGTGGGCACAAACTCACATGAGCATACAGCCCCTGGTTACACATCTGACTACAGTCCTCTCCATTCCTCAGACCTGCTGTGTGTTGATCTTACTCGTCCACTGGAACTTTCACGCTCTGTCTCTTCCAGCTTCTCTGCAACCTTCTCTGCCTCTGGCTTCGTGACGGGGTGCCAGTGATGGAGCTTTCCATCTGCCTACTCATCTCCTTGGGTGCTGGTGTATGTGAATGTGACTTAGCCCTGATGCTAGACTGAGATGCGAGCTCCAGAAAAACAGGAAGGTGATTTAATCATTTTCCTCTAACCCTGTATAGGACCTGAGTTAAAAACGGGACCCCAAAATAGGATGAGTGAGTCATCATGTGTCTTCTCTGGCCCTGCCCCACAGCCTTGATTAATGGAGATGATAGTGGGAATAGACGTGTAGCCTCTAGCCTCCCCTTCCCCTCCCCACAGCCCTCTTCCTACCAAGGCCTCAGGCTCTGACTCCTCCTCTGAGGGGCTGTGGTATTCCCTGCGCTTCCTCTTCTTCATGGGTTTGAGAAGCTCAGAAGCGCTGGTGCAGGAGTTCTGGCCTGAGGAGTTCTCCACTATGACTGACCTGAGGGACAGAGGGCCTGAGAGAAAGAACCACCCACCCTACACCACCCAGTCCCTCTCCTAAGCCCGGAACAGGGGGAATGGGGTCCCCAAAGCAGAGCAAGTAGGGGTGCAATCCCCTCCCCCTTACCGCTCTTGGAACAGCGGCGGGCAGTCATCATTGGAGGAACCAACAGGATCTGGAACCGCGCTTTGCTGAGGTCCACACTCCTGGCACTGACAGGTGCCATCATCTTCTGGGGGATCCTGGGGGGAATCTTCTGGAGGATCCTGGGGGAGGTCCGCTGTGGGGGCCAAAGGGGCCTCAGACCTCCAGTCCATCACAACCACACTCAGGCTCCGCCCACCTCGGAGCCCACGCCTCCTCAGGCTCCCCGGGACCTTACCCCCCCAGTCTTCGCCATCTCAGGACCAAACCCTGGGCGCACCCGCAGAACCCAGGTCACCCACCCCATCCTCCTCCTGCCGCCCCATGGATACTCTTTAGGGAGCTCGGGCCATGCCCCACCCGGGCAGGGCCCCAGCCTGGGGACTGGGGGGTCCTACCCGGCTGTTGGGTGCCCGCATCGCCACCTCCCGCCGGGGCCTCGCCATCTTCATATTCGGCCACACCTTCGGGCCGTAGCTCTGGACTCGGGGGCTGCTCCGCTCCTACCATGCTCAGCGGTGCGTACTCGCTTATCCGGAACTGCAGCGTGGGAGGGTCTGAGCACCGGACTCCCGCACCCCCTCGACCCACCTCCGACCGGCAAGGTCCCCTCCGGCCGCCTTACTCCTCAAGACTCGGCTCCAGGTGCCTCGCTCCAAGCCACGCCCCCAGCAGCCCGCCAGACTCCCAGCGCCTCCACCCAAGCCATGCCCCCAGAGTCCCTCAGTCAAAGCCGCACCCCAGAACCCTCCATCGCGGGCTCCTTCCTCCTCCCTCCCCTCGGGCCCTGCCTCCGGTCCGCTGGCCCCGCCCCACAAGTGCCCCTCGCCAGCCCCTCCGCCAATCCCCACAGACACTGACCCGCAGGCCGCTCCCAGGAGGCGGGGCTGCGGCCTCCGTCCACTCCAGGAGCCGCACTGAGGTGGCGCCGGAGCTGGCCGCAGGCCCGGGGCTTAACTGCGGCAGAACGGTGGCCGTGACAGGTACGCTGCCCGCCACTCGCTCCGGAGTGCCCACATGGATGGGCTCCCGTGGAAAACAGGAAACATCCAGGGCACTGCTGGGCAGGCCAAGGGTGGTGGAGCCGGCTACGAACAAACACACAGACAGACATGACACAGGTGAGCCTGGCGGCCCTGGGCATGTGTGTAGGCAGGTGAAAGTATGTCCTTCTTGGGATCCACACCTGCTTAGGCAGGTGTGGGGCTGCTCCTCCCCCCAGGCCCCTGGCTTGGCCCACCTGGTATGATGAAGGCAGTAGTGGGCAGGTGAGAGCTGGAACCTGGGCTGTCTCTGGCCACCAGGTGCACGTTGACCTCTCCTGTGGAGGGCCCCTTCAGTGTTCTCAGCATCTCCATTTCGGCATTCCCCTCCATCCTGGTAGGCCTACAAGCTGAACACGACCCCCACGGTGATCAGGGAGGGAAGAGCCTTCTTTGAGGTTGGTCACCCTGTAGAGAAAAGCCTCAGCCCTGAGGAGAGCACGGTGTCTTAGGAGACCAACACTAAGTCTGGCTCCTGGCTCTAACCAGGTCACCCAGGTGAGGGCTCTGGCCAGGCCCTGCCTCTCCCCCGGACTGGAAGTTGGGCATGTGTGAGGGTGCTTTGTAAACTGTGATGTATAGGTACACAACTGACCCTGGGAGTAGGTCTCAGGCCAAGGTTCTGTCTGGCCAGCTGCCAACGACAGAGCTCAGGCTATGTCCAAACTCCCCTCTTTTCAAGCCCCACCTCCAGCCCCACTAGACTCTTCTTCCTGTGGGGACTTAGAGCCCTCAAGTACCAAATTCACTCTCACTCTTAAGGTCCATTTTCCTGGGAGGTCATTTTCCCAATCACATTCTTTGACGCCCCCTGGCCTCAATCCTTCCAACCCTAAGCACAGAGTGAGCACTAGAAGGTCCGCTGAACAAATGCACACATGTGAAAAGCAAAGACGTGCTCTTCGAGAATCCAGATAGTGCGTGACTCTTCCATATAATAAAGCAAGGGCAAGAATATTTAATAAAGAGGTGGATGGATAAGTAAATATATGGGGAAAAAAGACCTAACAATGTAACAATTATACTTAATAAGTATCTATCATTTACTTAACTCCTAAAACGTATTGGCCACTGTCCTAGTGGCTTACCAGCACTGTCCAGGAGAATTTTCTGTGATGATGTAAATGTCTTATGCCTACATTGTCCAACACACTAGTAGCCACTAGCCACATGTGGTTCCTGAGCACCTGAAATGTGGCTAGTGTGAATGAAGAACTGAATTTTTTTAATCTTAATTTAAATTAAATTTAAATAGTCACAGTGGCCATAGTTACTGTCCTGGACAGCAAAACTTTACAGATATTATAATTGGCCTGTCGAATCTATTTGCAAAACAGTTCTCAGAGTCTGACTTCTCTCCATCTCCTTGCCGCCTTGCAAGTCCCAACTCCCATCAGCCCTCCTTGGACTTCAGAAACTGCCTCCTACCTCATCTCCCTTTTTCTTCTCTTGCCTCCTACAGTTTATTCTCCAGTAAGAGAAAGCTTTAAAAAGGTAAAACAGGGGCGTGGCTCAGCGGTTAAGCATCTGCCTTGGCTCAGGTCATGATCCCAGGGTCCTGGGATGGAGCCCCACATCGGGCTCCCTGCTGAGCAGGAAGCCTGCTTCTTCTCTCACTCCCCCTGCTTGTGTTCCCTCTCTCACTGTCTCTCTCTCTCTGTCAAAGAAATAAATAAAAATCTTAAAAAAAAAAAGATGTAAACCAAATCACATAATTCCCCTACCTAAAATTCTTCCATGGCTCTCCACTGCCCTTAGAATAAAATCAAAGAGATTTACCCTATAGAATCTGACCCCTGTTTTCCTCTGACCTCATCCTCCACCACCTGTTTTCCACCCCTGACAAATACTGGTTTCCTTCTACTCACTAACAAACATAATCACTCCAGAGCCCTTGGTCCTTGTTCTAAACTCTTAGAATGCTCCTCCCCAAGCTCTCTGCTTGGCTACCTGCTTTCCATGCTCCAGGCCTCAGCTCAGTGGTCACCTCCTCAGAAGAGGTCTTTCCTGGCCACTCAGTTTAAGCAGCACATCCCTCACCCATCCACTACTGCTCATCCCATTACTGTGTTTCTTTCCTTTGCATCCTTCATTATAATCAGTAATGATCTTCATTTACTTGTGTGTCATCAGTCATCCCTATAGAAATCTAAGTTCCATGAAGGCAAAGACTTTTTTTTTTTTTTTAAGATTTTTATTTATTTGACAGACAGATCACAAGTAGGCAGAGAGGCAGGCAGAGAGAGAGAGAGGAGGAAGCAGGCTTCCCACTGAGCGGAAAGCCCGACGCGGGGCTCGATCCCAGGACCCCGGGATCATGACCTGAGCTGAAGGCAGAGGCTTTAACCCACTGAGCCACCCAGGTGCCCCAAGGCAAAGACTTTTATCTGTCTTGTTCCCTGCTATAGAGCCAGCCCCTGGAACAGTGCCTGCACACAGTAGGCGCTAAATAAATCTGTATTGGATTTCAGTAATTTCAACTTGTTAATAAAAAGCTCTGGGTGTGTGATTGATTCCTGGTTGCTTTAAGGTGAGTCCTTGACAATGGCTTGTGGCATAAAGTTAAAGGAAAACATGGCCTCAGCTCAAGACAGACTTAAGACATGTGAAGCTCAGCTCCAGGTGCCTGGGTGGCTCAGTGGCTTAAGCCTCTGCTTTTGGCTCAGGTCATGATCTCAGGGTCCTGGGATCCAGCCCCGCATAGGGCTCTCTGCTCAGCGGGGAGCCTGCTTCCCCCGCCCCCTCTGCCTACTTGTGATCTCTGTCTATAAAACAAATAAAATCTTAAAAAAAAAAAAAAAGAAAGAAAGAAAGAAAGAAAGAGAAACTCAGCTCCAGAGCTTAACACATGGGGCTCTGAATAAGAAATTTACCTGACTGAAGCCTCAGTTTACTCGTGTGTAAAATAAATACAGTAATGATATCTGTCTCAAAGGGTTCTAGTGAATATCACATGCAAAAAACGGGTAGAGTTTTGGTAGCAGCAAGCCTTCAACAAATACCAATTCACTCCCTTTTAACAGAAATCCCAGGGGTGCCTGGGTGGCTCAGTGGGTTAAGGCTCTGCCTTCGGCTCAGGTCATGGTCTCAGGGTCCTGGGATCGAGTCCCCACATGGAGCCCCACATCGGGCTCTCTGCTCAGCAGGGAGCCTGCTTCCCCCACCTCTCTCTGCCTGCCTCTCACTCTACTTGTGATCTCTGTCAAATAAATAAATAAAAATCTTAAAAAAAGAAAAGAAATTCCAGGGAGCTGGGTAACTTCTGGTAACATAGAAGCTGCCTGCTAGCAGAGGGGGCTGCTGTCTCTCCCACCTCCTCCCACCTGCTGTTCCTGTGTACTCATTGACTTTCCAGCTTTTCTTCTCTAAAACAGAGAGTCCATCCTCTGTATTATATCATCAGGTAGGTGAAGACTAGATATATAACCTGATTAATGAAGGCAATATTCAAACCAAGGTGTGTTTCCCTTTGTTAAGATTGTAAAATAGAATTCCCTGAATTTCAATTCTAATTATTTTGCTTTTCACAGCTGATGTACTTGGACCACTTTTAAGTTCTTTTAGATAGAGTCAATCTTTTTATTCAATACCTTGGCAGTCACTGAGAGTGCATGTGGTTACTCCTGGGGGAACTCCGTTCCTGTTTCAGAACCTCTCACATGTTTTGGGGGTGTCCAGGAAGGGAGGCCAGGGGAATGTCCTTCTGCTCAGGTTTGTTGCCCTTGTTTCAGCAAACAGTCTAGGGCCAACTAGGTGTCAGCTCCATTCTGTGCTCTGGGAATACATTCTCAAACCAGACAAAAGTGCTCTCACGAAACATATTGTAGAAATAAGGGGTGAGGTTGGGTTGGAGATGTAAACTGGACAGCCGTCGTGGATAGCTGGCATTGAAAAGCACAGAACTGAGTATAAAGAAACAGGTAGGAGGGCGCCTGGGTGGCTCAGTGGGTTAAGCCGCTGCCTTCGGCTCAGGTCATGATCTCAGGGTCCTGGGATCGAGTCCCGCATCGGGCTCTCTGCTCAGTGGGGAGCCTGCATCCCTCTCTCTCTCTCTCTGCCTGCCTCTCTGTCTACTTGTGATCTCTCTCTGTCAAATCAATAAATAAAATCTTTAAAAAAAGAAAAAAAGAAACAGGTAGGAGCTTTGGAGCTCACCAAGATTTATAGGTTGGGAAAAGGAAGATCTGGTAAAAGAGTCTGCCTTCAATCAGAGGGAATCCGAAGAGCCTGAACTTCTGGAGGACACAGGAGGAAAGTTTCAGGACAGTGGGACTGCTCAGTGTGAAATGCCCCTCACAGATCAAGTCAGATCTTGAGATCTGACCACTGACCACAAGAGTCACTTCGGAGGAGCTGTGGACCCATAAACCAGATTGGAGTGGGTTCTAGAGAGAGATCCTGGATTAGCTCAATGTTTACTGGACACCTACTATGCACCAGGTACTGTTCTAGGGCTATGCAGATTTGTCACTGAACAAAACAGACAAAAACTTCTGCCCTCTGCCACAGACTCTACATTCTAGTGGGGGAAACTGATAAGGTTTGCGCCTCACAGAAGAATGGAAGAAAGGGAAGTGGAAGCATTGGGACTGACAACTCTTGTCAAGGAGCTGTGATGTCAAGGGGAATGCATGGAATTGGGGGACGGCGTTCGGAGAGTGATGTGGTCTCAAGGAAGGGGCGTGGTGTGTTTGTTGTTGTTTTTTAAAGATTTTATTTATTTATTTGTCAGAGAGAGAGAGAGAGAGAGCACAAGCAGGCAGAATGGCAGGCAGAGGCAGAAAGAGAAGCAGGCTCCCCGCTGAGCAAAGATCCCCATGCGGGACTCGATCTGAGGACCCTGGGATCATGACCTGAGCCGAAGTCAGAGGCTTAACTGACTGAGCCACCCAGGCGCCCTGGTTTGTTTAAATAGGAGATATTAGAGCATGTTTGTATTTGATGAAAATGAGCCTATGGAGAGGAAACAACGGACAGTGCAGGGGAAAAGAATAATTCTAGAAGACAAGTCCTTAAATATGCAGGAGGAAAGAGGAGCCGGTACATCTGAGATGTTGGGACGCATCACACCTACTTGTGGCCTCCTGGCTCACGGCACCCACTGCTTCCGTGTCCTTCCTCCCCAGCCAGACCATGAGTTTTTCTGAGGCCCGTAACTGCTTTCTCTGTGATCTGAATTCACTCTTCCTCTCCCGCTGCTACCCCTTGTGTTTGCAGTTCATGCAGCATTTTCATAAACATCGTCTCACTTGGTACATACAGCAGCACAACCAATCTGAAATGGCTCCCAGGCCCAAGCCACGTGCTAGGAAGCCATCTACTCCTACCCTACGGCCTGATCACACCCTCAGAACCCCACTTCTCTGTCCTCTGCACACACCTCTCCACATCCCATAGGTCTGGAAATATCTTAATCATCCTCCCAGATCCAGCTTGAGTGACACCTCTTCTTTGAAGCTTTCCCAGAATCCACCCCCAAACAAAGTTAATCATCCCCTCGGCTGTACTCCACTCCACCACAGTCTAACTATGCATTAACTTGTCTGTCTCCCCCAGGGATGGAACAAAGCTGCTGACGTGCGGAAAGCCTGACAGGCCCGCTCAAATCGGCAGTGAATGAATGAATCAGAGAGCTGGGAGTAAAAAGTGGTCAACAGTGTAAGAAACAACGGTACTGAAATCCATAAAAGGTTTAGCCATTCTTGCCTTAGGGGCTGGAATTCCATCCCCAGCCCCCCACCCCCCATGCTGTTCAGGGACTCCTCCAGGAGGGGATAAAGTTGGAGGTCCCGGCTGCCCTGCAGGTTGTCAGTGGGCAGTCCTCAGCTTCTCTGGGAACTGCCCTTAGCCAGGGGAGCTGCCTCGCCCAAGTGCCCTCTCCTGGAAGCAGCCATCCTGTTAGACCAGCTGATAAGGGGAATAAAGACCTCGCCCCCTAGCCTCAATTTGAGATTATGTCAGCAGCGCCCTCCCTGTCCACTCCAGAGCTTCCCTTGTCCCAGGCCATTGGCTGTTTAACTTCTGCCCACCACCTTGCTGTCTTCCCTGTCCTACAGGTGATATTCGCAAGGGCACTCCAGCAAACCTGCGCTCACATCTCCCTCTGGGAGTCTGGTTCCAAGGAACCTAACCCAAAATATCCATTTGGGTCCCCGGGCCAGAGCGGTGTCTGGCGCATAGCATATGTTCAATAATATTTATTGCATGAGGATGTCCCTGTTTATTTTCTCGTCGTCTCTCTGCTAAGGTTCCTCCCAACTGCCTGCCCTTCAAGGCCTCGTATACAACAGACGCTCAATAAAAGCCCTGGCTATAGGTGTTGGGGGTGGGGAGCAACACACACTCAGAGCCCCGGCCAGACTGAGCGCCGCAAACTTGGGGCCTCCCCCCGCAGCTGCGGCCGGGACACGGTGGGGGGGCGGGCAAGCCAGTTCCGGGTCGGGACCACCGCCCGCGAGCCCTCGGCGAACCAGCACACAGGACAGCGGGTGGGGCGGCCACTGACCCGTCAATTCCGCTCAACGGTTACTTTTTAAGACGCCAAAATGGCGGAATTCTTTTTATTCTTTCTCTTTATGGCAAAATAGTAATAATCCCATTTCCCGTTATAAAAATCGGAAATCAGTGGTAGGAAAAAGAAAGTTTGCCAAATGACCCATTTCCTAAGAAACCTCAAAGCCCGCCCTCTACACCCTCCGTCGTATTAATGAAAAACTCTTAATTGACTGCATTTCGCTAAAATCGGAGCCACCGCCTCCCCCGCTCGCGGTCGCGGCCCCCAGGCCCGCTGCCGCCGCCCCCGCCCCGCCGCGCTCGGCCCGGACCCCTTCCGCTCCGCTCCCCTGCTCTCCTCCCCAGCCCGCGCCCCCCGGCCGGCGGCGTTCGCCATGGGCCGCGCGCCGGGGTCGCGCACCCGGCACTGGCGACAGGGAGGACTGCAGGGCGGGCGGCGCGCCGCATCCCGGGACGAGCCCCCGCCGAGGGCTCCCTACCTGCGAGGCCCGCCCGTGGCCGCCCGGCGCCGAGCTGCCGTCCGAGACCCGCGCCGCGCGCGCCTGCGCGCACAGGGGGCGGGCCCGCCTCCCTGCAGGACGCGGGGCGCCGAGCGCGCGCCGAGCGGGATTGGGGGGCGCGGGCCCGGCCGCGTGCGCCTGATGGCCTCTCCTCGCCGCGACCGGAGGGCTGCGCAGGCGAGGCGGGTGGGGATTCATCCTGCCCTCCGCCGTCCGCGTCACGGCCAGCAGCGCGCAGGGGGCGCGGGGCCCGCCGAGCGGAAGAGCGAGCCTGCTGGCCCCCAGCTTAATGGTCAGTGACAAAGACGGGGTTGCGCTCCCGCACGCACGCCGGCTGGGTCGCTGCGCTGTCCAGTGCCTTCCCACCGCGACTGCCCCATCCCCTCCCTGGAGAAGTGGAGCCAGGGAGCGTCCGAAAACGGCCCCAGAGGGGGCGAAGGGCTTTGGGACCAGAAGTTAGGAGGCCCAGGGCGGCGGGTTCCGATTCAGCCCCTGACAGGCATACAGGGCCTCATTAGCCGCGCCTGCGTTTAGATGACCTATTGCCATGGCTTCTAGTGTGACCTGGAGGACATCACCTTATCCTCCCGGTACTTCATTTCTCCATTTGTAAAGACTCACTGCTTCATGGCATATGGTTCCCGCTGTGGTGTTACCTTGAGCAAGTCACTGCCGCTCCGTGCTTAAATATCCTTGATCTAACTAGTTACATCTCTGTTGTTGGTTCTTATAGCACAAAATACCCCCTTTTACACTTATCACAGCTGTAGCTTCACATAGATTTGTGTAATTGGAGAGGTTAAGAGACGGCAAGCTCGGGACGCCTGGGTGGCTCAGTGGGTTAAGCCTCTGCCTTCGGGTCAGGTCATGATCCCAGAGTCCTGGGATTGAGTGCCGCTTGGGCTCTCTGCTCAGCGGGGAGCCAGCTTCCCCTTCTCTCTCTGCCTGCCTCTCTGCCTACTTGTGATCTCTGTCCATCAAATAAATAAATAAAATCTTAAAAAAAAAAAAAAGACTGCAAGCTTCAAGAGAGACAGTTTCTTGTATCCTTAGCAATCAACTAGATACTGAGTGGGTGCTCAATAAATATTTGCTAGTAATACGCTGCATGCAGATAACAGGGAAACTCTTGGTATAGCCTAGAGCTGGGGGCTCCCCTCCCACACAAAAGGATGAAACCTAATGCCTTATTTTACAGAAAAGGACATTGAGGTCCCTTTGGCCTAAGGTCATGGACACAGGTGGGACCTCCAGGCTCCTGACTTCAGTCCAGATGAGAAAAGGATTCCTAATTAATCGTAGACAAATTCCCCAAATTGTGATCATAGGGTTTAAATTTATGCAGACTTTATTCTGGTTGCTACACCAACGCATTACATGTGTTCTTCCTTGCTGCAGTGTCAATTTTTAATCACATCTCATATTATTGGGAACTGAACAGCATCGGTTGAGGATGCTGGTTGCCATAACAATAGCGGGCTCTTCATACACACCAATACACACACAGCCATCCTCTTGTTCTCTCATCTCTACCCAGACTGCTTGTTCTAGATTTTCCAAAAGATTTATTTTAGGTAATGGATTATAAGAAAGTGGTGAAACTACACAAACACATGGCTTCTCAATTACAAATGTGTCTTACAGTGATTCAGACAGACAAGTGGAATCTGAGCTAGCAGGATGCAGGAACCAACAGGAAGTGCTGAGAAATCATTGTTCTGCTCATTAACAGTCTTAACAGGTGGTCCTAGCACTTTCAGTGGTCCCGCTTGCTTGAACACCTACAGGGATGGAGAGCTCCTCCCAAGCTGATGGGAGGGGATGGTGGCTTCTCCTAAGGCCACCGTTTGTTCCGCTGCTCCAGTATGCCCTCAGGAGCAAGGAAGCAAGTCCTGTCCCTCCCTCAAGTGACAGATCCCTCTTGTACAAGTCAGTAACCCCCACTGTCTACTCCAAGTTGACCTTCTACCCAAGAATGGACCCAAATTTGTTTGAAATGTTAACAGAAGCACTGGGAAAATTGTTGTTAAACCCACATCTGTTTCTACAGAATTCACCATTGAGGCAGTCTATCCATTTGGGAAAATCATCAAAATGTGCCCTTTTTGTTCAATGTGAACATCCTCTGGTTACGACCTGACAGACTTTAGTAATAGGGAGCCTTTTCTAGCATAAACACCCCAGAATCGTGGGTAAAATATTACAAGAAAAAAAGCGAACAGAGGAGGAAGAAGAGTAAATTCATGGCTGAAAAGGGTAACGGGAAGAGCCAGAAACAAAAGAGGGAAACAGAGCCATGGAGGTGGGGGCGGCCTGGTGTCTCTCCTGTCCTGGAGGTGGTTATTGATTAGAGATGGGAACCAGCTGCTGGGGACTTGGGTTTCATCACACACTTAATGGCAGGAGATGGGATCTCAGGTCTAGGTGATACTGGGAGTAGTATGAACGGAAACCAGTGTAAGGACTGGACGCTTCTCATACCCAGACTACGTATTTGTGGGTCCACAGTGGGAAAGGCAAAGGAGACCCAAGTTCCCAAACGTGATCAGCTTCAGGTCTTGCTCTTCCCCACGCATGGCTTTGTTACTCAGAACTTCATTGAAAAAATTTTATTTGGCTTTGGGAATGGAAGCTTATGTTTGTAACCGCTAGAACTTGTTTCGGTGAGGGCCAGAGCCTCAGCTATTTCCCTTACCCCCATCCTGCTAAACATTTGAACCTTGTTCTCAACATACTGATAGAATTCCTGTCTTAGGACACTGAGACACCCAACAAGAAAGAATCACTCAATCAAGGCATATTTACTTTTGTGGAACAAATTAGTTAGTGGCTTAGAAAAGCACAAATTACCTTGTAGTTCGGGAGGTCAGAAACCCAAACTGGGTCTCACCGGCTCTCAAGGTGTTCTATTTCCCAGTACCAAGGACTTTCTTCCCAAAGAACTGCTTGTCAGTGGGGACAAAGACCACTTAGGAAAGGTGGTCCAAGATCCTGGTCTCTGTACAAGGCAGTATGCTGCTTTCTTCTGGCTCTATCTGCTCCAGGCCATCTTCTGATTTCATTTTTCAGATACCTTCATGTCCTAGTGCACTCGGGCTACTAGGACAGAACACCAGACAAGACTATGGCTTCCAACAACAGAAACTTCTTTCTCCCAGTTCTGGATGTGGAACGTCCAGGTCAAGGCGCTGCAAATGTCATGTCTAGTCAAGTTTTCCTGGCTTCACAAACAGCCATCACCTTGTTGCATCCTCACATCGGGATTAGGCTGCCAAGTGAATTTTGTGGAGATAGAGAGTCCATAGCACTTTCTAACACACAATCAGCTATTTGGAATGGGGTTGCTAGGAACTTACCTTCCAATCTCCCTTCTTCTTCCACTCAAGGAACACACACACTGGCTTTCTGGTACAAGCCAGGTACTTGGTCCATGTTAGCCAGATATGAGGGAGGCGGAGTGGGTACAGGTATGTCCCTCAGAAAAGCTTATCTACTGAGAGCTAAGAATAAAGTTCTTTGGTGTACTTGTTAACTCAAGAAAACTTTTCCTGGCTTTGGATAACAAATGAAAAAAGCAAACTTCATCAAGTGTGATGTTTTGTACTTTATTGAAATAGGAAATATTTACTTGTTATCTGTTAGGGTCATGACAGGAAACACGGCATACACTCTAAGTAAATTTGAAGAGAATTTAATAAAGGGTCTGTTGCTAAAGGTATGCGTCGGTTGCTGGAAATTCACAACTGTTAGCAAAAGATCACCGGGGCTAGGAAAATGGGACAGTGGTTATCAGGACTTGGAAAAAGAGGGCTGTATGTAGAAGACACTATGTCCTTCCGATGAGGGCCACCACCAACCTAATAAACTCTACAGGGAGGGAGCTGTTGGAAGTATTCCAATCTTAAAAAAAAAGAAAAAAAAAAGTCAAGTATCTGTTTAGGCAAAAGAAGTAACTCCCTAAGTTCTCTCTTTTAATTCATCTGCAGGTTGGTGGATTTAGGCTGGGCTGTTGTTTCAAGTTGTAGGTGGCTGAGGCTAATGGACAGCTTGGCCCCACCGGTCTCATCTACCAGCAGACTTACAAAGGGTATTATTGTCATGGTGATGACTGAGATGCCAAAGACCAAGCCTGTTTGTACAAGTGCTGCTTAAGCCTTTCCTTGTGCTACAGTAACTACCACAACTTTGGTGGCTTAAAAGAAAAATGTGTTACCTTATAGTTGTAGAGATCAGATATCCAAAATAAGTTGAAGGGCCTGTTTAGCCTGGAGAGGACCTTCAGAGTCAAGCTGTGGGTAGGGCTGTGCTCCGTGCAGAGGCTGTAGACAATTTAGTTTTCTTTCCTAGTGGTCCCTTCCGTCTTCAAGGCTGGTAGTGTAGCATCTTCAAATCTCTCATTTTGCTTGTTTTCACATCAACCTTTTCTGATCTTTTTACTTTCAACCTTCCTATTGTAATTACCCTGGACCCACTTGGATAATCGAGGATAATCTTCTCATTTCCAGACTTTAATCACATTTAAGAAGTTCCTTTTATCACGTAAGGTTAACATAGTGATAGGTTACAGGATTAGAAGGTAGGCATCTTTGGGGAAGGGAAGGGTAACATCTGATCTACTAAACATGTCATGCCTGCCAAAATTCCACTGGCCAAAATCAGGGGACCGGTGGTACTCTGCTTATAAAGCGGGGGGCGGCGGGGGGGGGATTTATAGAAATATATGTAGACCTATGAACGAATCTGGCAAGGCTCTTACCAAGTGTTTACTGACTGTTTGGACCATTATGACTCAGGATATTACACTGATCAGCTTACTACAATCACAGCCACAGTTATCGATGCTGGGTCTGTAGGGGTATGTCATCTGTAGCAAAGGTGAACGAAAGATGTAACTTTTAAGATTTTACTCATTCCAATTACAATGCTGTGTACTCTACAACCACACTGAAATTTATGCTCTGAATTTCCTTCTCCCCCTATTCCTGTTACCCAGAGCAAGAGAACACATTATTTGCTTAAACACTCTGAAGGAGCGGAAGATATTCTCTAGGGATATTAAAAAGTTTCCTC